ATATTCTGTCCTGCTTCCTTGCCCAAGAGATGCCACCTCATTTCCTTTGTGTTGCTGTAATTCAGAAAGTCCGGCCTACATGTGCTTAACTTGAAGGCTCCTGCTGCTGGTTTTAAAGTCTCTTAATTCACATATCACTCCTCCAGTTTTTTTTACATGTTTTAATTGGCAGTTAGCTAAACTTCAGTCATGAACAGTTATTCTGCAACTGTAACTACATGGCAGGCTTGTTTCTCCACATCTTAGGAGCAGCGTGTGTGAGGCTGTAATAAGAGAGATACGTTTAAGAAATTTGGAGGATTAAGATCTGTTTTGCTTTTCTTAAAAAGAGAAGAGTGAAATGGGGCTGTATTGCTAACCTCCGTTACCTTACCATTACATTAGCCAGGGACAGAGTTGAGGAGCGTTTCATTAGTTTATAGTGTCATTCGTTTTCTTTTTTTTTTTAAAAAGGCCCATACAGAAATCCATCCACTGAAGCTGTTCCTGGATGCTCTGAATATAGCAGTTCTGTCCTTATATTTGATGTATTTCAGGTTTAAACTTGTTACTTAAGATAGCATGACATTTGCAAAACACATCGGTAAATGTTCATCCTCCGAGCCTTTTCTTTTGTAACATTAGAAGTGAAAACACACTTGAAACAAGTCAGCCGAAACATTAAAAAGTCAGCTGATGACAGTGTTGTTACCAACTCATGGAGCCGGAGTTAGCTCAATTAGCTAGCTGGGTACAACTGAAAAAAACTGCCATCAAAAGCTGTCATTTCAAATAGCAGGGTTCCCAGCTAAGCTGCCAGGTAATGTTGAAGGCTGCTTTTGCCTACCTCTGTTTAAAAACATTTTTAAATCGTCCACTGTTACCACTGTACACTGCATTATGTCAAGTGCCAAGTGAGAATGGGAAGCTTGATAGGCCTTGAAACAGTAATCACAAGTCTATAAATGGGCACTGTATTGTGGTCCTACAGAGTTAAGCCTATTTCATGTAGTTGGATTGTTTGGCTCTTGCCAACACAGAAGTCTTTCTTTAAATGCCTTTTCATAGATAAGGCAGGGTTATGAAAATATAAAGCTTGTGTTTGATTAGAATTATATTGAGTGAGAAAGTGAACTTTAACTGTATGTCAAGCAACATCATTCACTAATTCAGCCGTTCATTGTGACTAACCTTGAGCCAAAGCGCAGAGAGCATAATAACTGCTGGGCATGTCAGTTCCAAGACATTTGTGAAAGTGTCACACTGTGTGCAAGTTGCAAGTTGTGCAAGTTGAAGTAAAGTCAGTGATTCATTCCATGTCTGACTAATGTCACTTTCATTAGTAAAGTGAATGGGGGGGGGGTGTCAAAGCAGAAAGGTCACTTTTGTTTTTTCCCTAGAAGACGCATTCTGTAGTGCCTTTACGATCATGGAGTCTGTTTATTACCTGGATGTAACCATGCAAACCGTACATTTGATTTCAGCTCCTTTTGTTGATTCACTGCCTCTCAAAGCCCTCCCGTGTCTGTTTTGTAGAGCTGTTAACAACACTCCTACAGTCTTAGTGAAAAGCATGTGCGAGACCTATAACTATCTGAAGGCAATGGGCCAGTGAAAGGGATGATTCACGTCAACAGCAGAGCTCATATCACCCGGAGTGTAAAAGGGACATTGCTGGAAAGGAACGTACCATAATACTATTAACGGCTGGGAGAATGCTGTGTTTAGCATAAGGCAGAGACAACACATATTGTAGAAAACTCAAGTATGGACAACATAGACACGTATCATGCACACAACTCTATTGCTCCTGCACACACACTATTTCCACAGAGCTGCACAGGACACCTGAATAAACTTTGCTCAAGGTTTAGAAATAATAGCTCCGTGCAATCCTAATATCTGCACCCATACCTCCATCATTTGAAAACCATTATATTTGAACTGATTTCATAAATATGCTCTTATCCAGTCTGGGTAGTAGGTTTACTGAAACACGAACGACTTTCTCCTGAAGTCAGAGAAGGTGAACACATCCACAAACCTGTTACCACTTAGGCTGCTTTTTACACCTTATTTGGTAAAGCTGAATCAAATTCTGGACTGTTTGTGTTCTTGGTTTTGGCTCCCGTTAGAAGTGGAGAATGCTCCAATCGAATCAGATCTGCATAAAAACAACAGCGCCGCAGCCTAGCCTGACACAGGTGATTTCACGCCACTTTCAAGTGAATCCTGGAGAGGGCAATTTAAGGTGAGAATCCAATCAGAAAAATGCACTGTCTCTTACAAAACCCATAATAAAATTGATTTACTGATTCTTTTTGGCTGCTGTAACTTTCTTGTACTTGTCCAAATGCCTCCCAGATTATGACTTTGTAGTTTTAAAGTCACAGCAAAATAAAAAGAACTGCCAAATATGAACTATTTGTATGCCCTTGCTTTTATTTATAGTTCTTAGTAGACAAAGATCCATTTTTGGTGGTTGCAAATAGTGTGTGAGCAGGCATAACAAGAAAAAAACCATCTATTAGTACAATAACAGCTCGGGACCTGCAGCTTCTCGAAGTTCAATGACTTGCAACGTCATATGATAGCAGTAACCTTTTCCATAAGACACAACAGATGCATCCCTGTGCTTGTTATTTTACCCTTTTGAGAAATCCATAATTTTTGACAGCTGAAGATTAATAATGTTTTGTCCAATAAACAGCTGACCTGAGCAATCGTGTGACTGATTACAAATAGCCTGCTTAAATGCCGTTGTCAGTTGCTAATGGGAAAAAAGATGGAGCCAATGAAAAACTGCAACACAGCTTCTGATTTGGGCCAATCCAAGCAAACTAGGTGAGAAGAGGTGAAGCTCTAAAAATACATGGAGAGCGCAAATTTAATATCCACAGAGATGGAGAATGATGGTAGGAGAACCGAAGTGTGAGAAGATTCAGGGATATTTTGAAGATGAAGGCATATTCGGCTCATAATTATTAAAACTGTTTAAAAATGTAGCTGATTTCCTTATGAACCTCAAGCAAACACGTGAAGTCACAAAATGAGGCTGACTTGCATTTTTTATGGGAAGAATCCAGTTTTAACATCCGAAGACATCACTGGACAGTAAGTGTTGCAATTCGTGGTACATTTTTACTTTGCAGCTCTCCAGGGAGAGAGCAGGTAACTAAAGAATGATCATTGATTATAGAGTAGATTTAAAGGGTTCTACTGATTATCTGCATAACTCAGGATTCAGACCCAAATAATTCACTGCCCACTCAGTGACACAGCTGCCTCAGAGGAGTTCATTTCTGTGTTAGACGAAGCTCTACTGACACCTAGTGGCGTTAAATAGTAAAATCAGGTTTGAAACAATTCTCAAGCTTGAACTGGATGAAATGTTCACTTCCTTTACTTCTATGAAGAAGTAATTCCTCAATTTAATGGTAAAAGTGCAATCAAAAGCTTAAGCTTAAATAAAGGTACAGAAGTAGAATCAGCTAAATGTAGTAACAAAAGTAGAAGATTTATGCCAAGTGGCGCCTTTTATAGCAGCTGCAGTAATAAATATAGATTGTAGGATTATTGTGAAGTGAAGCTGATTTAAACAACTGCTTTAGCAAAAAGTGGTGTTTAATCTGCAAAAACCCTCTGCCTTGTGAAAGCATTTCTGTCAATAATTATGTCCTAAAACCTTTATTTTACATTAAATAGTTTATAAAATATTCTGAATATATATAAATGAGTGCATCTTGAAACAAGACAGAATATGGCTCTACTGCCACTGTAAATGTATATAAAAGTAACTATTTCCGTTTATTTGTGCAAAAAAACTATTCATAAGCAGTAGTTTTAACAATATCTCCCTCTGGTGGAGTAGAAGTATACAATTGCACAAAATGGAAACACTCAAGCACAATAGACTAACTCAAAACAAAACAATATTTAATTACATTACATGAGTAAATGTGCTTTCATGTTCCACTACAGTAATGCTGAAACCATGGATGGATTATGAGAGCATGTGCACGGACATGTAACAGGCCCCCAGTGGTCTACCAGTGCACATTAAATAACTATCAGATCAGACTTGCCATCAGCAAATAAATACTGAATGTTGCAGGATCAAGATGAAAAGTAACCTGTTACTTTCCAACAAGAAATGTAAATATCCTCACTTTAAACAGAAAGAAAGATTTTGGGCCCATGGACCTGTGCCGAGCTGACCCACAGTGACAGTGAGCCAACACGCACAGTACCCGACTCCAAAGCAGCTGCATTCAGTCACTGTTAATGTTATCACTAACACCTGTGCTTTTCCTACGATGACATGTGAACATGTATAGATCTTTTTCATAGCAGCCATTTCGACAAGTGGTAGGGTAAACACAGGTGTTACTGCTGACACTAATTAAGGTTCACTTCTATTTAGTGTAGCAGAGCCTTTCCAGTGAGCCGACATGCACAATAGCAGACTCTGTCTGACCTGAATGGAACAGAACATTAATTAGTATCATTGGTAACACCTGTGTTTGTCCTAATATGTCAAAATGGCTGCTGTAAAAAAGGTCTGTTCTGTGAAAAAGGACTACAGGTATTTTCCAGACTTGTAGGTTTCGTACAATTCATATTGTACTAAAAGCATAATGGCAATAAAATAAAAACACTAGGCTATTAAACAATACAGACACAGTATAATTCGATATTGAGAAAGACTTCCGATAATTATCTTAGCCATAAGCTGTAGTTTCAATTTGTTTTTTTAACAACAAACATTCTGTTGTCTTAGTTTGAAAAAAAATAACATTTTAACGAAGACTCACCAAATAACTATTTGTACAGTAAAACATATGTAAGCTACGCACTTTTTTATTTTTCCATAATATGAAACATAAACAGTAGACCTATGGGGGAGACTTATTAAATCAAACAAAATGTGAAATGTAGCCTACTAAAATAATACCGTTTTTAAAAATAAAGAGTAACTATTAAATGTAGCGTTATTAGCTCTGTACTGTACACTCTAATGGAACTATAGGTTATCTATGGACGTTACGTACGGGGGGGTGTACGGCACTTCCGGGCCTGACCGTGCGGGGGGAGGCGTCGAGGTGGGCGCAGCATCCAGAGATACAAAGAAGACGGCAACAATGGCCGATATATCGCTGTATCTCACTACCGTTAATGTGTCGATAGGACAGACCATGGACGTGGAGCAGGTCGGTGAAGAGCTTTCTCTGTTATAACCTCTGTATAACGACCATATTGAACGCTAACCCGTTCTGTTGATGTGGCTAATGATGTCGCCCAGTGCCTGTAGCTTGTTGTCACTTGTCAGCTGTGTCATGTCGCTGCGGTTGCTCCTGATATTGCACTAGAAATATTTCTCACACGGGTTTTACCCCACCTTAAGGCTGCATTGACTGACTCCCTTATGAAATACACTCACACACACACTGTCTTAATGTTTGCCTGTGATGTGTTCCCAGACTCAGAGCCCGGGTAGAGACTTTGAGAGTGTGGAGCTGGGGGAGCTGGACAGGAGAGAGGAGCAGCAGCAGCAGAGGGAGAAGGCTCCTCGCAGGATTATCCATTTCTCCAGCGGGGAGACCATGGAGGAGTACAGCACGGACGAGGAGGAGGGAGAGGACAAGGAGCCGGAGAGGAAAGACCTGCTGTCCTCCCCAGTCGATGCGGTGAGGGTGAGGAAAACGGTGGAGGGACGGGGGAATTTATGTGTGTGGGTACAAGGAGCTAAATGAGGACAAGAGAGCATGATGGAGGGAGAGGGGATTTGGGTTTCAAATAAGGAGGAATAGGAGACATACATGTAGCGCTTTACACATTTAAAAGTGTCCTCTGGTATGTTTGTGTGTCGCAGTCTAAGCTGACCTGGGGTCCATACTTCTGGTTTCACATGTGGAGAGCGGCCACGTCCACCATCTCAGGTTTGTTCATTAACATCAGTATTTACAACCTGAGGGACGGTGGGCCTGTATCATGAGTCAGGCTGAGGTGAACTTGCTTTGTGATACAGGCACCTTGTTTCTGAACACGTATGCACACATTTCTTAGGTTAACCTCAATGCTGCGTTTCTAATTTAAATATTAGGATGAATCTGTGGAAAATCTGAATAATTAATGCTGCTGACAACCCAGGATGTGTGAGGTTAGCAGAGGATGTAATGTCTTACAAAGACGAAATGGTACTAAAATCACAGAAATATTGAGTTTAATTCATAATGTAAACTGGAGCTGTTGTCATTGATTAGTCCAAACAGCGTACTGCATCCTTAGCTGAGGATATTTCACTTGTATTTTATTGTTTGCACATTCATTTGCTTCTAATTCTTTTCCAGCCTGTGACTACCTGGGGGAGAGGATGGCCTCCCTCTTTGGGATAACGTCAGCCAAATATCAGTACGCTATCGACGAGTACTACAGGATGAAGAAAGAGGTACGTTGCGCTGAGCTTCTGTAGTTATGAAACCACGTCATTGTGATTTTTGTATGCGGTACACCAGCTGATGTTATTCCTTGTGGCGTCTGCGTGTCAGAGGGAGGAAGAGAAGGAGGAAAACCGCCTGTCGGAGGAAGCAGAGCGATCCTTTGACCAGCTACAGGCCCAGGGAGATGAAGACGAAGCGATCACCGCGGCAGACGCGCTGGAGGTGGCCGCTGCTCGCCCTGATGTGATCTATCAGGTTGAGAATGAAAACCAGGCTCCGTCGAGCACCATAATAGTCCCTGCCATTGTCACGGCAACCTAACCCTATCCCTAGAAATGTGTTGTTGTTAAAGAAGGAACCCCGTCTTGTTTCACCAAGCACCGTTTGATTTGTGTACGACACAGCTTTAGATGGGCAGTGCTGCTGTATTGTGGTTGTTTGGCAAAGACCAGTAGTGGTGGAATGACTCCTCTGGCTACTAAGTGTCCCTTTGCAACAGTGTAGCAACTGATAAAGTAACTACTGATAATGGAGCAACATATTTGGATGGCAGGTGTCGTGAAAAACATACAATATGACAGAAAATGTTACATTATTATCTGCGAATGCACAGTCTAGTTGAAGTTGTTAGCGCGTTGATAGCTGTTTTATCAGTTGCCACAGCAGCCTCCCGAATCTGAACGACTGCTATGGAGTGAAGGTTAAATGTCGCTCCCCTGTGCCTCTGACAGACCAGACACTGTGCCTAAATCACCAATACAGCCAAGTCAGTGACAGATCTGGACACTGCATGTATTTGAAAATGATTGACTGGTCAACTGATTGATTTCAAATATTTGACGGATGATGTACAACAGCTGTTTTCGTCCAGGTCTGGTCAAACTGGTGCATTCTCGATACACCCGGCTGCACCAAAGAGCTGGCTATTTTAACACTCCCTCACCTGTTCATTTGCTCCATGTGTTGTTGTATTAATGCTTATTAAGCTCGCATTGCACTCAG